AATGACTGATCAAGCTAACTATTATTTCTGATACTACTTGTAACAGCAACAGCAGCAGTTACTGCAGCAGCAACAGCTGTTACAACAACCGCAGCAGCAGCAACAACAACAACATCATCATCATCATCAGCAGCAACAACAACAACAACAACAACAACAACAACAACAACAACAGTCGCATGATCATCACGTGGAAGGTTATCACGCGTCACCTGCAGAAGGCGTACAGAAGGATGAGAAGGGTATAATTTTTGTTATCAGATTTATGATTCTCTTATTAATTTGCTCAGCAATCGTGAATTTTCTATGTTTGTTTTTCTCATTTTGAAATGTATTTGATTCCCAAATGAACATGTTTGTTTGATAAGCGAGCAGATAACGATAATTATTGTCCAAAAGTTGCTTTATTTATATATCTCTCGTTTGTTCAGAAAGCACTAAGAGCAATGATTAATTGTTTGAAATATTTTTTTTTCCCACTTGTTGGTATGATGCTAATGAATTTCAGTGCTTGTAAATTTAACAAGAATACAATGATTAGCTTGTTTTTATTAATATATTTGTTAAATGAAGTGATTAAGGTAACGGGTGATTTTGTTTAAAGGAATAATGTTAAAAAAGTCAATTTTTCTTCACTCTATATAATTTCCTCATTGATTATGGAATTTGAAGAGTTGAATCAATATTAAGGTTCAACAAAAAACTCAGAGAGCTCTCCAACAAAATTCGAAGAAATATTCTTGATGAATATTACACTGAATTTTGTTGAAAAGATGCTAAATTGGGATGAAAAAAAACCAGATTTTATCAAATCGGGGGTTGTTATTTTTCAGGTTATACCGTTGTTCCAGCAAGTGTGAGCTTTCGTGGTGTAAGCATGAAGCTGGATCTGAAAATTGACCAAAAAACATTGGCCGCAGCAACAAATTTTTCGAAAGTCGTAGAAGAAGCTGTTTCCACTCACCTTTCATCGTCGGTTATGCCGGTAGATAACAATGAAGTTGGCAGTTCACTAATACCACACATTCCACCTTCATCTACAATTGTTGCTCAACCATACCACTCAGCATCCTCATTTACAGTTATGGAACCTGCTAATAGTACCAAAGAATCACCTATCTGCGATAGCTCCGTTGAGAGCAGTACTGCACTTTTGGTAAGCATTTTGGTCCGCCTTATGCACGAATTTCGAGATTTCAGTTATTAAGCAGCGAGAACTATGATAATTATAGTAAATTACTAGTGGTTTAATGCATTCACTATTTGGCTTGTTGTAGTCTGCATTTTTCAGTTGCTTTTCTATTAAACTAACATTAACACCTCAGTTTTTGTTTTTCTTTTAGTTTGACGACTTCACTTTTTGAACCCATACAGCGAAATTACGTTGCACAGGCTGTTGATAGGTCATTCTTAGAAGAAAGTTCGAAAATTTTTCTCTTGAACTTTCTTGTAAGGTGTCTTCCTAACCTTTTGCTTTGGTTTATATTTTTACGCGATCTTAGGATAATCCTTTAATTCCATCCATCCTAGTTGGCTATGAATTGAACAATATCTTGTCATGTTATGTACTTACCTTTATATTTTGTGCTTCTGTACTTACACGGATTCAGCGGTATTCATTTTATGCATTTAGGTTCGCTTATATCATTTAAGATTAATACTAATGTTGTAGTGAAGTTACCGATGGTATTTCTGTACAGTGAAACATGCGTCTTAGAATTTTATTTCCTAAAAGGCTGGATTTCACTCTACCCCATACTGGACAAGTAAGGTTAAAGGATTGGATGAACCGACTTCATCAGTAGGTGATAGTTCGAGAGTGGGTATGCAGCCATGAAATGGGTTCAACCAAATAAAAACAACTTATTTCAATATATGCAACTATTTCTCGGTAAGAATCATCGTGATACTCGTGCCGTCCTGAATGTGTCTGGAATTTCTACATGATCATTTTCTGGTGAATTTCAGAACAGAAATGAGTTATGTGAGCAAGTAAACGAAGTATGTAGTTCGACTGTGGATGCGAGTCCGTTTTGCGATACTGCTTGCTCACCTATACAACTCGAATTACAAACAAAATTACCACATGGCGTCATGAACAGTTACATAAAATCTCCAGACGATACACCACCTGCTTCGTCGGAAGAGCAAAATAGTAAACATGTTGTTTTCCCAGATTAAGAATATATCCGAAATCATGTCATTGTACATTGAGATCGCCATCTTATAGCTCTAAAAGAGAGTAGTGTTGAGTATATTACCAAAAAAAATTTTATGATTTTAACTTTATTGTATGTATTACAAATTCGACCTCTTCAATTATCTGTTAATCTTAAAGGAAGTAATGTTTTTCCCAGAGCAAAGTATCTGAGTCATGCTGCATTCCGCACATTTCTACTGAGAATAATTCCAAATCCTCCTTTTTCCCCAGACAGTTCCACCTTCACTTTCTTTGAATATCTGATTAATTGATTCAGGAAATGCATCGCATTCATTACTCAAAGAAGAACTGACCAGTTTAGTGGCTACTGCTGCTGCGCCGGATAACATCTATCTTACACCATGTGCATCAACTTCATCAGCTGAAGTAGATGCTACTGCTTTTTCACCATTACTGGCTAAAAGACGAAAGGAGAAGTCAACTACAGCATCTCATCTTTGTGAACAGATTGATCCAGAAAAAGGACAGGTATGTTTTTCATTAATTTTTTTTTGCTAAATACATTTTAGAAATTTCTGTGAATTCTCGAAGAAGAAATGTCATTTTCCATTATTTTATTCATTGGATTAATTTCAGTGTCGACAACGAGCTATCGTAAATTATCGATATTGCATTCGTCATATACTGCTGGATCCAGAAGCACCTTACATACAGTGTCAACATCAACGTAAACCGAAAAGTGTGTTTTTCCATTGTTCACCTAATCTACTACTAGAATGCCTAGTGTTTCGCAGCACATATCCGGGAAAGTCCACCACAGATTGTCGGAAAGTCGAGTGAAGCGCTTCAGATTCATCAGACTGCATATAAACTTAAGCTTTTAGTTAAGGTTCTAACTTTAATCAAGAAATGATTTCTAGGCAAAAGAGATACCAATTTGCTTTGCACGAATGCAGTACGAAAGGACAAAGGAACAATTTACTGCAGTACGCATTTGATCATGAATGGATTAATGGAACCGCGAAAGAAGAAGGCGAAAGCAGGTGCAGTGATTGTTGAGAGCACAGAACTGACTTCTTCCTGCAGCAACAATGTTTGGAATCGGTCGCTAATTACTGGGAATTCGAACCTTGCAGGTGCATACGAAGAAATGAATTGTATGTGCTGTTTTGTTTTGGAATTTTGAGTATGTGATTATGATTGATTATGATGGATTGTGTTGAATTTTTTACGTTTCTTTTCCTCTTTTGAGGGAAGATCAACAGTTAATCTATTACTGTGTTGATGTACTTTATCAGTGATAATTAAGCCAACACTTTGTTGAATTTGTAGTATACGTGAAATATCATATCTTTCAAGCAACTGCCCTGGGTCATCAAATATAATTATTTTTATGAACAGTTAAAGATTTGGTGATCCATTTGAGATCAGTACGGTAGTTTTATTCAAGAAGTTTTGTGGTGGAATTCACTGGACGAAAATTTAGTTAAATTTTCATTCAAATTTGTTGAAGGTACATCTCGCTCAATGGAACAAACTTGTATAAGGAACGACGGTGTCGTCTACAATAATGTCTTGAATAGTGCTGTGATAGCTGTTGATTCAGTTACCAACAAACGTACAGTGTATCACTTCTCGAAAACATCAGTAGCCAATACTCTACCCATGGAGGGAGGTATCGTTACCGTGTCAACAGAATCGAGGAATGAAATGACAGCAGCTTATGATGATGGTGTATCAATTGAAGATGATGAATATATTGGGCTACCGAAATTACCTGTACACAAGACCATTATGCCCCTTCCTATCACATCGTCTTATGGTGAAGTACGATCAACGTATGAATGTCCTGTGCAAGCAACGACTAGTCAGATGGTAAGGAATAATTGTGTTAATTATGACTGTAATGAGAAAGGAACAATTAAGTTACGCTTATTTAGCATTTATGGGTTCTACATTTCTTTTATTAAATAGAATGTTTTGCTGGTGTACTGTATCTGTTGCCGAAGAAAGCATTTCCACGTTTGTGAACCAATTGGAATGTGTGAAATTTAGAAATAAAACTCATTAAGTTTGTTTGCATCGAATGTTAGTCGGTCTGACCCACACTTCAATCTATACATTTATATTTATGAAACCAAAACAGGATACGCAAATCGTTTTCAGGTTCGTCGAAATATACCTCAGTTATGCTCGCGCACGGCTTCTCAAGCTGTCACACCAGCTGTTATTAAAGCGTGTGATGGTGCACAAATTCCATGTGGCCAACCGACAGTTGTGAAACAACGTGTAACAGCTAATCTCAGCAAACAACACCCCCAGCTAGCTGCTAAACTTCTTCAGGTTCCTCAGGCTTAAAGAAAAATAAATCCAGAATTGATATTTATGATTTTATGTCCGTAGTTTAATTAGGGTGGACAAATAAGAACATGGTAGGTAGTCTCCAATAAGCATGCAGTACCAGTAGGCGTGCTTTCCGCACTGTGCAATAAAATACTAACAACCACGGATTGCTTTGTTTTCCATGATTCGACGGTCTTAGTTTTGATAATGATTTTAAGAAGCTTTTCATCAGTTATTAATTTTCAGTAGATCGAAATTTCGTAACTGTTTGTAGGAAATATCGTGTTTAAATTGTTTGCAGGCGCCAGCATCTTCTGCGGGGCAAAGCGCTGTATCATCATTATCAGGTGCTCCGATACGATCTAATTTCGCAAAAAGTATCATTCCGCCATCATTGTTAGTTCCTGAACCCCGTAATTTACTACCCTCTGCAGCGCCTCGTCTTACTTCTCGTCAGGAACCTCCACGTTTTTATAAGACACCCGAAGATGATAAAATTAAGTCAACCATAAAGCAAGAAAAGAACGATGTACAAAAGGTCAGTTTTTCAGTTACTGTAATTTATTGTGGAGTAGTTTTCCGAACCTGTTTAAAGCGCAGCTGATGACCAAGAAATCACCGGAGAGGTTAAGAGGGTGGTGATCAAATTTCAGGGGGAGCAAAACAAAAAAAATTAAATTATGTTATGTGTATTGTGTGCACGGTCTTTTAAATGTTTCTAGGTGCTATTCTTATCTTGCACAGCTTGAGTCGTAAAACTAAATCAAGATTCAAAAATTAGGTGATTTCCCTCATAAAAATAGAAGTCTGTCAGGACAAAAACTTTTATATCTTAATTTCAAAAATTCTGTTCCAGCCGAAAGTTATACAACTGAAGCAGAAACGCAGGCGAATGAAGATGACGGGAGTTTACCGAAAAATACCTCAAGTTGACCAGATGTGCAGAGTTTTAGAGGATCAGGATTTCGATCGCACTGATCTTTTTCCTCGTGGTTAGTCTACTATTGTAGTTATGTTCTGGTTAGTAGTAACAATTGGTTGCTGTACAAAGGCTTTGTAAGATTGTGCTCAAACATTTTCTGAAGTTTTACATCCCGAAGAACGACGTGTAAAGTAAAGCATCTTTATCTAGTTAATGAAGATTTTACAGGACTTGAGCCATCAGATGATGAAGACGAAGAAAATGATTATCTTGATCTCAGATGGTTAGAAATGGCATGTAATGCTGTTTCGGATCCTGCGCCTCAGGGAGCGCTGCAAGTGTATTTAGTGAAAAAACAAATCAGGTATTACAGCAATATTTTTTGTGATGAAGGAGTGCTTTAAATGTATGAGAACTTAGTGCAATTTTTGGCATATTTATTATCCTTAAGCACAAAAGTTGTGTTGACGTTACGCATCTGTAATTATGCAGTATGATATTGATTTGTTTGCTTCAATTTTTGAAATCTCATTTTATCTATTGCTGAAACGGTTTCAGTCTAGAATTCTTATTCTTCGTTGTTTTTGAAGATTAGACAAGAATGCATTAATGAAAGAAGCTGTTACGAATGCTCCGATAATGCATGCCTGCAAACAATATCCAAATAGTGTTGGCGCAGCACTAGCCGATCGTGCTTCCAATTATGGGGCTGCTACCAGTGCTGTATTCAGTCAGAAAAAGTTCACCTTTTACTTATATAATTGAAATGGAAAATTTGATTCCTATGGGTTTGGTTGTAATCATTTTCTGCAGTCGAAATAACTTTAAATTTAATATGAATTGGTGTTGCTGAGTAAAAAAATTGGGCGAACATTTTTGTCTTTTTTTTCCTTTCGTAAAAACATATAAACTTGTAATCATTTATCAAAATCTGTTTTCTTGTGCTGTTTCTTCAATATTTTATGTTTGGCAAACAATGATGAACTCTAAAAAAATTTTTTTGTGGCTGTTTTTTTTTTTTGATTTTTAAATTTCAACATCAAAAACAGTGTTAGGAGCAGTTTTGCGAACTTTTTTTTTTAGCTAAAGAGCTGAATTTTTTTTCAAATTTTTTTTCTTTTTTTTAGATGCACTATTACGATCCTGAAAAGTGGTTCACCTCCCGTGCAATGCATGAATAACTGTCTTCCGTTCTCCAATCACTGCGCACAGCACATTTCCTACAATTTGAATCAGAAATTATTCAGTTATTGTGCTGAGCCATGTTGTTCGCAGCCCGTTCTTTGCGTTGATGCACCGAAAACTTTGAGTATGTTATGTTCATCTTTGGAGCTGAAAATAATTAGCTGAAGAAATATGAAAATGCGTATAGAAACCGTTCGTGAAATCACATTTTTCCCTCATTTAAAATTAGTAATTAATTTTTTAGAATTGTGCGTTCATCATTATGAGCTGAGAATGAAGAAAAAGGTTGAAGAAGAATTAGCGCGGGAAAATGCTCATCAATCTTGGAAACAACAAACACCAATATGTTATGTGCAGCAGCATCCCATACAACAATATGAGGACGATATTCGTATGAATATTCAGCATTCGCATTATCAGTCGCAGGATATTGGAGCAGATCGATTAAATTCTGTTGGTGTAGGTGATTTCTGCGAACTTGAAAGTGAGTTTTTCTGCGAAGTGAAATTTAATCCCTGGAGTTTGACGGTTTCTTCAGTATCATATTGTGTTGACCAATGTTGTTTTGGAAGTTTTAAAGAGAAGGGAAATCTGATGTCATTAGTGCTTTTTTGTTATATATCGCATTTCCTTTCTAAGCATTTCTTTTTCCACTGTATCCGTGGAACCTTCTTTTAAATGTTTCCTTTTCAGTGGGGTCGGCTTCGAGTGGAAATGAATCAGATGTATATTTGGCTTCATTTGCTAAAGATCTAGAATTTAGTTTTGATGGTAGAGAGATAAATGATATGTTGGCAAATTTCAATGTTCCTGACGGAGAAGGTACTGATATTTTACACGATCAACCATTTTCAGGTAATTTGTTTTGTCTTTTCTGGTAACTGATTGAGTTTCATGTTTATTAGTGAACCAGAACCGATAGTGTTCGGCAGCTTGTTAGCTCTAAGAATAGCGTCAGTTTCCGAAGGTGTAGAATTAAATGGTATTGCCGGGAAATACAGTGTGTGAAAGACCGTTCCTAAATGAATCCCGTATACTAAAGTTAAAATGAAAGGATTTCTAGTGTTTGATTCAACAAAACAACTCTGGATTCCCCAAAGCTTTCAATTCCAGATGGTGCAAAGGATGAATTTTTGCAACTACCAACAGAATTTAATGAAATTTCTGGTGGCCATAACTGGCTTGACGTTGAGCAGTTTCTCATTTCCGAAGGAGTCGATTTATCTTCATCATCGCAATCGAGCAGTATATCCGCCGTTTCTGTGCCACAGCCATTAAGTCTAACTAACGATGGAGTAACATTCTGCGAATTTTCGTCGTCATCATCATTGCATCAGCCACGAAGCTAACCTCATCCGTCAACAGGAAAGTATTTCTTTGACTCATTTCTTAGTCGAACTCACTTTTTTTTAAATAATCTCACAAGAAATGTAATTTTTTTCTTAAATTACTTCATTCTGTATTTCTTGCTCTTGTTATTCTGATATAATTATTGTTCTGAATAGATATATTAGGCGTAGTAGTCCAGGGATCGCACATATTTAGGCTTAGCTATCCAGGAGTTCGATAGTACGTTTTTATTGTTCCTGCAAAAACCTCTTCTTTCCCATCAACTCAGGTTTTTTCTTGAAAGTTATTGGTTTTTTAAAACTTACGTTCCTGAAACGCTTACTATCCCATTAATTTTAAGAGATGCATAAGAAATTTGCATCTTTTTTACCCTTCCTCTTTCTGAGCAAAAGCATTTCTGTAATTCCGGGTATGTAAACTTCTGTAACTTCTTTTTTATATTCGAATAGGAACATCTCCTGGTGTGCTTAGTGCCCAAAATGATCTCATTTAACTCGCGTGGGTTTATCACCACATGAAATCATTTTTTCGAATTTTTTAAAATTTTGAAAGAATTTCATTTTCACGATATAAATTGAGTTAAATTCAATCCTGAAATGCTGGGATTATTTTTGGTTATCATTACATGTGATAACTACATTTTTTAACGATTGATGCTGGCACTAATTTCCCCTTGTAAACTTCTCAGTAGCCGAAAAGTCTAGCATATTAACTAGTCAGTAGTAAGTTTACATATGTAAAAAAAACAAAAGAACTATTCCCGGTTTTCTCGCGTACTTGCACCTTTTATTAGCATTTTTTCTACTTAACATTTGATAATACCGTGAACCTGGTTAAGGAGATAACCTTGTCTGTGATGTGGGTACTATTTGTACCATCTTATTTCCATTCGTTCCAGGTGTTAGAATATTTTTTGCTTTATATTTAGTATATTAGCTGGTTATATCGTACCGAAGTATACTATATCCGTTATGATTAGTTTCTGTGAGTTATGCTAGCTTAGGCTAAGTGCCTGAAATGAAGTCGTGGAAATATTTCGTCGTGGATTTAGGTTGTAAATTATATTGATGAATGTTGCGGATCGATGTTATACGGATATTTGGTCTTAGACAAATTACTATTCATTTTTGTAGGTGGCAGGGTCCAGTTAATTAGTGATATTGGTAGTTCCATGTTTCTGTCATATCAATAGGATGTCATTAGTAGTTCTGTTTAGATTCGAAAACTTTCAACAGATGCAATTTGAACAGAATTGATTTCTGAAAGTACATGAGGATGGGATATATTAATACAACTTTGCTGCAATTGCTGATCTCTTTAGAAGGAGGGGAAGATAGGTGATAGGAAGGCATCCGTACATTAGGATATTTCTACATTTTTGAAGTGCCTTCTTTTCATGAGCATTGAAGATCGGTGTTTCAGCTTCCATCTTTCAAATAGAGTTGCAGCCTACGAATAAGTTGATCTCTTCCTTTAATGCCTTTCTTAATAAGTTTTCATAATTTCTCCGAATAATGAGCTTTTTCCTAGATATATATATTTTTTTAGTCCATCCGGTTAAAGAATATTCATGTTATTAGACAAGTTATATATATATATATATATATATAAAATTGTCATTTTTGTATACTGTGTTTCTCATCTCATTCTGTACACTGTGAGTAAACTAGTATGTATTATCGTGCGTTTGAATTTGGGACTTCCAATAACTATTTTATTCATGAGCTGGCTAAACGCAGAAAAACAAGAAATATATGCGGAAATAAGCCGAGCTAATATTTGTTTCATCGTTCATAATACTTTGCCTTTCTTGCTATTCTTTTTCACATGATTTATATGTTTATATATATATATATATATATATTTATATTTACAAAATGTTTTCTAGCAATTGTATTTAAATGGAGTAGACTGTGGTGATACGGTTTTGGATGGTTATTCTCTTTGTTTTCTTGTTTTAAAGGATATTCTGGTTTCAGCGTTATGTTTTCATATTTGATGTTGTAGATTTCAGCTGTTGTACAATTTTACACTGAAGTAATCATGAATGAAAGTTCGAGATTTCTGATTAATCTTATCTCTGGTTAACTAATAGACAAAAAGTTCTACAAGAAAATCTTTCATTACTGATATGGTAAAACAATCATTGTCATGGAAAGCGAAACACTGATTTTGGAAAGGTATAAACTTCATTCGTGAAGTCAAAAATTGTATAAAGTCTTGAGCTACGCAATTGTATGCCGCGTACACAATTCATAATCAAAGGATTTCTGAGGTATTGTGTACCATTTCGATGACTTGTGGAATATTAGTCAGCATGTCATACTAGTTTGGATTGTGATATTGCTTGGTGAAAGGGTAATCATCCCAATATCGAAGTAAAAGTAATGTTACTGTTATGCCATCAATTTCTTTTGCGATCTAGTCGATGTTGCTGAATATGGTGACAGTCAAGTTTTGATGAATGTTGCGTAGCAATCCACTTCATTTGGAATTGCTGGGCCTGATCAAAAGATTCTATAATTTGTATGCTGACATACCTAATCGAAGATGCTTTATCTTAGTTTGTAACATTTATTCTTATACGACACCATATAACATTTGTTTAAAAATGCTCCAAAGTGTCATTTTCATCTTTATCTTTTCCTCTTTTTATTTGATCCTAATTTCTGGAACAACTCATGAACTGCCGAAATCGATGGAATGCGAGAATGGAAAGCGATTTCGAACGATGACATACATCAGCATTTGAGTTAACATTATCGGAATATATAAGAAATTCTACTAGTAAATTTATTTTTGATATTAATCAAGAAAGCTCCCGGTTGAACGGTTGAATTAAATTATCCATCGATGCGTTGTCAACTTTTTTTATGGGTGCTATCATACCTCTTATGGTATATTCTATTTTCGGCTTCATTTTGTGCGCATATTTTCCCTTACGGTACAATAGCACTTATTATCCAACTAATATTTTTTCAAATAATTTGGATGTTAGCTATTTGTTCGCTATTTTCAACTACACTTATAACACCGGCTGAAATTCCGAAAAGTTTTGTACCACCGAAAGATATCTTTGAAAAACGTAATTTTGTGAACGAAATTGCCAAATGGGTATGTATATTTGGAACTAATACACTTTGTATTTTTCAAATTTTAATATTTGAGCAGTTCACTGAAAGTGTCACCTACACATTTTCTTAAATATTTGGAATTCTCAAATTCAAACATTTTATTATGATGTCATTGCTAATTAATTATTGACATATTCATTTTAAGTAATTATCTTAAGATAACTTCAGTTTTCCGCACAAAAGTGTTCATCCCTTTCCTTTTCACGTTATTTTCATTTAATTACGAGGTTTAAAATTCCTTTGGAAATTTATAATAAGAAATTTTAAAAAGACACCAAACGTGTAATTTCATTGGGCAATTTGGAATTTTTGTTTCTGTTTGAGGCTAATAAAGAGAAATTGCCGGTACGTTATGTCACGATGTCAACAGAAGGTGGCAGTACCAAATGTCCGCCATTTTGCTTATATTGTAAGGTGATCAAACCAAATAGGACACATCATTGTCGCAGGTAAAAGTCCACTTTTAAATCAGTAAATGTCAAAGTATGAATGGATGTAGTGAATTATTACGGAGTATGCTTTAAAATTTCGAAATTCAAGTATTTTTGAGATTGATAAGCTCATCAATTCGTACAAAAGCACCACGATAAATTACTCATCCTCAGTAATATTGGTATGATTATATTAATGAAATTCACTTCCTTTTTCAAACCTTTCATCTTCAATAAATGCTGTCAAAGATTTGATCTGTAATTAAGGCAAGTAATTGTGATGATTTAATAAGGAAAGATTCAGTAATGATATACATCGCTGATAAAACATTTCCTTTAATAAACCTAATATCTGCCAGATGATAAAGATATTCTACTTAATAATGGCATATTAACAAAATGGTTTCAATGTATATAATTACATTAGCATTACTATGCACTTCATAACTGTTTAAAATAGCAGTACTTAATCTTAATTTGCTAGTATCTAATATGTTAACAAATTATAGAAGTAATTTCATTTTTATAAAATGTAGTAAAAATAACAGATGTAATCGTTGCATAATTCGTATGGATCATCATTGTCCAATTATTGGTCATTGTATTCATATGCACAATCATAAATTCTTCCTACTTTTCCTTTTTTGGTCAACCATACTTTGTGGTTATGTTATTTGTATCACGATGCCAGCATTATATCAACGGACAACAATTGTTATTTGGAGTTTTTCAGGTAAATCAAATAGATATTGATATATATATTTTTTTGAAACAATTATTTTTGCTATTTCAATAATTATTTGTTATTATTTTTGATTGTTTCTATACATTTTTATCTTAGGAAAAGAAGGCTATTTTATTAGCGTATGGATTTTAAGATGCAAATTAGTTTTCTTTCATTTTTTATAATTTATAAAAGAAAAATCAGTAAAAATTTGTGACAACTTAATAATTTTATTTAAGAAAATTAATTTAAAAAAGAAAATTTCTCTTAAATTAATGTGTATTATTATTTTTATTAATGCGTAAGTTACTAATAAATAAAGATTTTGATGAAGTTTCATTTTGTATGGAAGTAATTATTTAATAAGATGGAACTTTCAGGAATGATAAGTGCATTAATGCCAAGGTATGTACAACAAGCTCCACCATCTATTGATGGACTTGTTGCAACATGTTTGGTCGCTTCTGGTGTACTGAATGCTTTGGTAATTACTGATGCTTTTTTTTTTTAAATTGCTTTTTTAATGTTTTTTTTTTCAATATTCTTTTTATATTTAAAAAAAAAGGGTTTTCTTTCTTTCCGTTTTTGCTGTATCACATACCTTATCGATTTAAATACTACTTCATTTATTATAATTAAAGTAATCATGATAAATTTTTGGCTGAAATGTTTAAAATATATATTAGATATGTGGCATTTCGCTTAGTATATTTTTGGGTCAATTAACATATTCATTATTACGTAATGAGACAACATTGGAAAGTGTATCATTTCAATTTTGTGGTACTATCACCAATGATCGACATACTATCGGCAATATTTCCTATGATTTGGGTTCTACTTGGCATAATTTTTGCTCCATTTTTGGTTATAATCCATTATTATGGTTTTTACCAGTACATACAACTTATGGTAATGGATACTTTAAAGAAACTAATCTGAAAATGTTTCATAAAAAGAAAATAAACAGATGAATATTTCTTTGTTATACTGATATCTTTGCATAAATTTTAATGAATGATTTTTTAGTACCTTTATGAGAATAAGGAAAGATCTATATGTTAATTATGTTATTTTTAGCAAAAAGTTAAGTGGAATGATAAAGTTGAACTAATTTGAATGATAGTAATTTTCCGGTGTCATTCTGTGGTATTGTCACCAATTGTTTCGTCACGAAGACTACTCATAATCAACACTTATACATACGTATACACACATACACATACAGACATACATACGGCAATTAGGTACATCAAAAAAACTTGTTTTTAAATGGAAAATATCATTGAATTTTCATCATTAGTCCATTGCAAGATCAATTAGCAATTTCAAGTTTAATTTAAATCAATGAAGCAGGGATTTTCTTCTTTTTTTATATAAAGTGAGGTAAAAATTTTAAATTATATGTAAACGATTTGATTGCAAAAAAAAAAAAAATCGATAATTGCTTGACGAGGATAACATTCAACTCATTAATGTGTATATATTGCCAATTAGAGCTGTTTAATATTTTCCAATATTATATTTTGTAGTATACAATTTTATAAAAAAAATTTTTGGTAATACATATCGTTTATTATTTTTGAAATGATACTTTCCTTTCGAATGTTTTTTCCTTTTTATTACCAATAATTATCTATTAAGTATTTAGTTAAACAATTAAATAAATAAATTATGCGTTTGGAACTACTTGAAATCACAAATTTCATATCTGGTACACATACATTATTTTTTAAAGTGATACTTTTGTTTGCTGGCAACAATCTATAAATTACTCAATTACTCAATTGAATTATACGACCGAAATCATGGGTTTTTAATTTGAATAGCTGATTGATACTTGAAATCACAGATTTCAGGACAATACATGCATTTATATATATATATATATATATATTTATATATTTATAAATTTGTGTGTGTGTGTGCGTGTGTTATAATCAGTATACCAATTATTCATTTCTAGTCAGTAATTCCATTTAGATAGATCTTAATTTCTTAATTTAGAAATGTGTATGGGATTATTTTGGTTGATTGGAAGAAGTAAATAAAATAAGATGAATGAGATTTATAAAGGGATGAAACCATTTCAATCATTGGAACAGATGCTTGTTAAGTTAATTACACTAAGGGAAGAAAGATAAATCTATCGAAGTTCGCAAACATTTATGAAAACATCTTTTAGCATTCCTACCTATTGCTTTTTATTTTTTCTTTTCATCCTTCTTTCTCTCTCTGTCTCTTCTTTTTTTCCCTTTTTCTTTTTCTGGTTTTTGATTGAAATTATTTCCTCACATTGGCTTATCGTAAAATTCATAAATTTTCGGAAAATTTTTTTTAATCATTGGGAATTGATAGAAAAATTTTTTAGAAATTGAAAAGTTCCCTTTTGAAGTTTGTTTTTTTCCCATTTATTTCGGGAAACGATTCAAATTAAGTTTAATAGACGCAAAAAAAAGAAATCACTGAATAGCTAATTTTTATTTTTTCAAAGCCAACCATTCCCTTTCTGCTTTTTTTTTCTTTTTTTAAAGCTCACCTATTTTATTCCTTTCAGAGAGCCGAAAGACAAATTGCACTTAAATATTGTTGATGCTAACCAGTTTGAGTGTAAATTTTATAAATAATTGTTCAGGGCTTGTTTGATCAAAATTTTCAGCCAACTTCTATTAGCACCTTGCAGAAATCTATAAATGAATTGCTTTTCAGAAATAATGAAAGTTTTTGGATGTGCAAACTGCAAAGTAATAAGTCATTGAAATTCAAAAATTTATGAAATAATTCAAATCTCAAAATCTCTCAAATAAATAATGGTTAGCGAAAAAGAAGTTATAAGGAACTATTGAGCGATTTCCACACAATTATATTCAGAGAAACATATATGGCAGGAAATGCAATTGATTTTAGAATTTAGCTAGAAAATTTTCCCTCAAAATATGTTAGCTATTTTTTGAAAAAATTATTTTCGTTCTTTTCATGAGAAAATTTTACTCATTTTAAAATTTATTACAAAATCAATTGCAAACTAATTAAACTTTTGAGTCCCATAAGCACCTAAAAAATATGATACAATACATTCATATTACATTTATATACCAAGGATTTAAATTAGATAATTATAATTCGAAAAAAAAACAATTAATATTTGAGTATATTTTAGATCATTGGAAATTTTAGACGTTTTTCCGGAAATATTCGACGTCATGAATAGACGAGATCATTCGTTGATTTTGATTTCAAATATTTGATTCCCAATATCAATTATAAATTAGATAATTATTTGAATCAAACAAATGTTGCATTTCCAGCGTCACTAATAAATGAGCTATTCATTGAACACTCTCGAAAACTACCAAATTTTGGTGACCGTGAAAAGGATCGCCTCAGTTGTGTACCATGTCGTATGATCTGATTTCGAAGGCTATCAATCCGTTGCAATGATTTGCCTAATCGATCTGATTGATCTGATCGCATATTGCCACAACAACGAAATGCGCACACACAGCCTAATTAGGAAAATTTAAATTAATGCAACGGGCAAATTAAGTAGAATTTGAAAAGTTTTTTTCCCATTTTTCCCAACTATCTTATTCCTATTCTTCCTAATAAATGAATTATTAAAATAATTATTTGTTCAATTAGATCCATTTTTAAAACTAATCGTAAATTAACAATTAAAGTTCGTTGTTTTTCTATGGATAGAATTTAAAATTTAGAGTTTTAAAATTTTATCCTAAAATAACTTACATGTAATCATAATAGTAAGTAATACAGCAACACCCACAGCAATAATCAATGATAATGTACCCGTATCGATGCGAACTTCTGGTTCACCCTTTAATTCATCGTGTAATGCTGCTGGAAAAACAATATTTTTGAAAAAAAAAAAAAAGAATAAAAATGACAAATAAGAGAATAATAATATTTCAATGAGAAAAATAATGCTATAAAATGAAAGTATTATATGTAATTAAGAATGATTTATTAAAAAGTAAATAAATCAATTAATCATTCAGTCAATCGATTCAATTATTGAATTTGAAAATTGTAATGATATGATAATCTTATCACCAATATTTCATGTTTAATTAAAAGTAACCATACTCTAACAAATTCCAATGACTAAATTGACATGAAGTAAACAATTTTTGTGTGCAACAAAATTTAACAAATTAATTAATAAAGCAATTTACCGATGACCCGTTTTAGCGCTTCATACCATTTGTCATTCTGTATAAAATTATTTACATCGTCTAAAATTCGTCGCCTTTCTCTGGCCGTAACATATCGTTGAGCAAGTCGAGCTGGCCAAATGATTACCTCAAAAATTTGAAACTTCAATCATATTTTATCGCTTATTTTTAACTGATTTTTTATTTTGTTTATTTATTTATTTATTTTTATTTTATTTCTATTTTATTTATTTATTTATTTTATATAGTTTATTTTTTGTTATTTTACCAATCGATCAATCAATCAATAGTTTGCATCGCAAAACAGTGCGACTCATTTTATCCTATGCGAATTACGCAAGTTCACGTAGTTATCTTATATAAGTTTACGTTGTTAACAAAAAAAGCAATATAAAATGGCAAAGAGAGTGGTTGAAATTAATAGAAATAAACAAATTAAATTTATACATATACCTTTTTATAATGTTTCCAAATAAATATGAGCACTGAATTACCGCAATCACCAAGTGCCCAACGTCCTTCAAGTGTACGGCAAAAATTTTCCGCTCGATCCAATAATTGCCTATTAATTCGTTTCATTGTATGATTTTTAAGTAAAATTTAAACGATTAATATTTCAAAATTCATTAAACATTTCATATCAAAATTACCTTCCTCTCTTTGATTCAAAAAAAAGTACCAAACAAGTTGCACGAAAATTTTGCTAATCAATTTTTTTATTTTCTTTCAATTTTTTTTTTTTGCAAAAGCTTATTATATTTTTTCATTCCTCTCGAATAGATTGAAACAGATGTTAAATTAAAAAGCTATCAACCATTTTATATGACTTAACATATTTGATAATTAGTGGTAATATGATAATTAGCGATAACGTTTAGAGTGATAAAAACGATAACTTTCACCAAAAAAATCAAATTGTGAAATTTATCAAATTGTGGAATTGCTAATAAAAATTAAATTTTAAAAGTTGAAATTGTTCATACATTTTATGAATTAAAATTATCGACTACTCCTATTTAATTCGGTCAAATATCATACTTAAATAATAACAATAAATAAAATTTCCATTCAATTCATATACGATTGTCAAAAAATAAATTTTTAATGCAGAAAAATAAATGTTGCGATTAAATTTTATTTGTTATTTTCTTTTTTTTAGAAAGACAACCTTTAGAATAACTATTGCAGATTATGCAGTATTTTTGTAATATTTTTTTTTGTAATATTTTTGTAATATTTTTAATATTTCAGCCATTGCAAAAAAAATTATAAAATAATTGGAAGTTTACTTAATTATTGTAGCAATTATGAGTATTAGAAAGTAAATAAGGTATGAATTTTAGGAAGCAAAAAAATGAAAATTAAAAATTAGCATTGAAATAAGATCATTTGAAATATCGAGTCAGTGAAAAAATGAACTGTTCAGATGGACTATGAATGGTCATTTGTAAGTTGTTGACCAATGCAATTGATGCAACAAATCCATGAAATGATGGATTCTTCACATCATCACCCGTAGTAGTACATTGTGATCGTCGTTGACAGTGACATGGTGTACCGATGGTTAAATTATGAAGTTGTTGGTTTAACGATCGTGCTAAAGAAGTCGATATTTTAAAAATTAATTCGGTAAAATTAATTGAAAACTAAAAGTTGAAAAGTAAAAATAATCTAAAAACTACAATTTGAAAAAAGAAAGTTAAAAGTTATCAAATATTAGTTTTTAATTGAGATTCTTTAAATGAATGGGATGTGGTAATTTTTTTCTTTTTTTTATTAAA